AGCGTGGTTAATTGTTTCTCCAATCACGCCCGGCCTTAATAAAAAAAGTATGTTTTTTTTGTTTTGTTAGCGGATCGGTGGTTAGAACCACGCCCGTTAGGCTGCGCAAGCAGGAGTGTAGTTTATGGTTAGGTACCTTCGCGTCAGGTATTTCGGGTAGGTAGATTAAATTGCCGAAGGGTCGGTCTCCTGAGCGAGGCATCTTTGCTGACTGACTGTAGTGTGTACTTGCCGTGTAGTGTAATTTGTATTTCATTTAATTTAATAGTAATTTGTATTTAGTAGTGATGCCATCGCACAAGCCACCGGCGCTTCGCCTGCAGGCGAAGCTGCGCTGGGCCGCGAATGCCCATACCTTGATTGGGCGACCCGATCTGGTCCATAGTTTAGGGAAGCGGCTCGAGCAGGTCGTGGCCCGAAGGGCCGTAGTGGAGGAGGCTTACACTGAGCTTGTGGCCTCGGATGCGGAACAGGGAGTCCTAGACTCCTGCCTCGCGGACTACGAGCAATTCTTTTCGCTCACGGACGACTTGATCGAGGCGGGGGCCAAGTATGCTAATGAAGCGCGTGAAGCTCGGCTGAGTGGCCTGCCCGAGTCCCCTCGGAAGCAGCCTACTCAGCCGGAGCTGTTGGGACGACTCCCAACTCTGGACCTGCCAAGGTTCTCTGGGTTTCTCTCCGATTGGCTGACCTTTGTTGGTCTTTTTGATAGCCTAGTGGACGCCCGAAAGGACTTGACACCGAGCCAAAAGATGGTGTACCTCCTGGCCTCACTGGAGGAGGAGGCCCTGGGCGTCGTCGGCTATTTTAAATTGTCGGACGACGCCTACCAGGCTGCCCGGGACCTCCTCGCCGGAAGGTAAGCCAACGTCCGGCAAATTGCGGACGAATACGTTAAGCAGCTTCTAAACCTCCCGCTGCTTAGGGACCGGGCCAGACTACGTCCGGACATCGTAAATCCAGTCGTGGTGGCCTGTAATTCGTTGAGGCGGCTGGATTTACCGGTGGACGAATGGTCCTTCTTGTTGCTCCACATCGTGCTGTCCCGCCTGCCTCTCTATCTTCGGATCCATTTTGAGGAGAGGTACGGCAGGGACGGCGCCTCCTATATGCCGCCCTTCAGGGACCTGCTGCGGTTCTTGGAGGAGCAGTGCCGGCAAATTGATAACGCAGCGAGCACCGTCGACGACCTACGGGTTGCCAACCGAGCCGTGCCCGGGGAGAGGCGAAAATTTTGAAGGAATGCATGCAATGACCTTCAGCGAATACCGTTTGGTGATTCTGAGTATAAGGTACTCCACCGGAGATTCTTAGCACCCTCTGCCCCGCCGTTTCCATGGTCGCCACAGTAGCCAGGAATAGCGGAGCCGCCGGGGACTGGGGGCCGTCTCTTAGTAACTTTATTCAGTTGGGGGGTATATTGCCATAGTTGCCATGCTTGGCGAGCGGGTTGGCAACCGCAGTTTTTTATTGTGATATTGCTGTTATCAGGAAGATGCTACTGCCCATCTCCTGACTGTTTCCCACATCCCACATCATCCTCAATGTGGTCGAAGTCAATTAAATACTCTTATATTATAACTTAAAAACTAGAAACAGTAGCTTTCAAATATAAAAATAATCATCAAAATCGGTTCACCTAGAAAAAAGTACGCAGATAAAACACAAAAAATATACAGTCGAATTGAGAACCACCTCCTTTTTGTAGTCGGTTGAAAAACGCAAATCACCCAAGTGCCAGTTGCAGAATTATGCTTATGGACCGTCGATCTGTGCTCTGTGGACACTTTTGTTCGTGGTGTTCATGGTTTGCAGCGGCTACTTACCACATGACTGTACTTTCATACGTCACTAAAATTGTAAAAATATAAATGTGCTTTTCTTTACGTATCATTGTAGAATAAAATTAATAAATCAGTTTTAATTAAAGCGTGTATCGTAAGTTTGTCAAGTCAGACAGTAAATACAAATCTCTTTTACTTCACGGTCGAGTGATGGTGTGTGATGACGGTTAAGCCGCGTACTCACCTAATCTTGTAACATGTACGAGGCGGCACTGAAAATTTCATTACTATTGAAAAATGTATTTATTGCTTTTCGAAGTATTCTAAAAAAAAGACTCTCGCCTCGCGACTCGCCTCGTACCTCGCCTCGCTGCTCGCATGTTGTTGCGAGGTAACGAGTGCCTGTTTACACTCTCGCGATGCGGTCAGTTTGCGTTGAGCCAGCAACGATGAATGACGTCGAAATAATAGCGGCATCAACTCTTGCCTTAATAAGTATTTATCGATGTTTGACCATTTTAAAAAGAAGGAAATTAATAAAAATACGTCGTTGAGGAAGAATATGACGGATGACATGAATTTATCGAAACAGAACCTTTTCAGTTTCATAATTTTATATAAATTGCTAGTACCTATTGTGCAAGATTAAATAATATTATTTTATTAAAATTGTAATTTTAAAACAAAAGCAATTCGAATGTTATTCTGGAAGGGCGCCGTAAACAAACTGAAACGAGACGCGAGTGTAAACACCACGCTCGCGTCCCTCGCGAGGCCCTTTGTCTCGTGCCCAAAAAACCGCCTCCGACGCGAGCGCCGCGAGTGGCGAGGCGAGCTGCGAGGCGAGCCACGAGCTAGCGTTTACACTCGCGCCTCGTGGCTCGCCTCGCGACTCGCCTCGTCGCTCGCGCGAGAGTGTAAATGGGGTATTAGAATTCGTTGTATGAAATCATATGAAACCTCGCACATTACACCCGCACCGTACGGGCCGAATTTTATAAAATGCGGTATGTATACGATATCGAAGGACGAATGCTGATGACGTCATATAACGCGGCGCATTTGTTGCGTGTTAATACTCAGTGTTGTCTAATGTTGCCAACATAGTGGATTTTCCACTATAACTGGTGGTTTCGATTTACATGATAATTTTTAATTCATTCGTAATTAATTATACATAATTTGAATTTTTTTTGCATCGATTATCAATATGTATTCTTAGCGATAAATTATTTAAATACTAAACTAACAAAAAAAAAATTGTTAAATTTAATTCAAAAACCCAATTATAGCTGATCACTTAATTATCAATAAAAAACTTACTTTAAACATACAACAAGTCTTTTTTCTGGTTCAAGTGGCCTTCTAAATCTTGAGTTCTTCATAGAAAGATATGGTTTTAGTATATGTAGCAATTCTTAAAATTTCTTGTATTTTAAATGCAAATATATAAAAAATCGTTCATCATCATCTAATAAGTCTTTAAATAAAGTATATCCCCTTCATATTCTCCATACAATTGCCTTTTTAAATTAATATTATGAATCCAGAATCTTCTTTTTCTTCGAATTTAATTTTTTTCTTCCTCTGCCAATAAGCAGGCTATTACTATATTTATTTCCATAGTGATTTCGAGCGATCAATTTCCCTGTACCGGTCACACCAGTGGTTGGAAAAAACTACAAAAGTTGTTGGTAATACAAAAGATTTGCTTACGGCGCGGACGATGCGTACGGGTAACTGTGCGAGGCCATCAGTAAAACTCTGCGCGTACGATGCGTACGGTGTCGACAAATGTGCGTTCAGCTTTAGTAGTAATTGTAATTTCGCGACGAGCGCATGTTTAGTTTTTTGTTTAAAATGAGTGGCTGCTCGAACGAAGAGAGTTTATCGTTTCTGGAATTTACCAGAGCGAATCGTATCAGATAGACGTATCTGGAACCCCAAAGACGTTAATCATAAAAATAAAAAGAAAATTGCAGATGCTTGGAGTAGTCGTGCCGAGTTAACGGGAAAGCCAGTAAAAGAATTAAAAGCCAAAAAATTCCTTGTTTTCGTATTACTTTGCTTGTATTTCAAATAAAAGTATGTTAAACCAAACGCAATAGCCGACACAAGTTCGGTGTCCGGCATGCTTGGGTGTATGTACTACGTAGCACACTGACACATTCACCAGCATGAAAACGACATCCAAACGCCAAACGAGATTTGTCGACGCTTGGGGCTTGAAGACGTTTGCCAAGGCTTGGCAAGCATGTAAAGGTACCATAATGTGTCTGATACCGTATCAAGTGAGTACGTAGGCACGAGCTTGCTGTGAGCCGCTCGCGCGTAAAGCGCATTAAGTTCGCAGTGACCCGCCGGGTGGCGGTATTACAGCGAACACAAAGGCGGATACGCGGTGACCGTGGACGAGCCGTACCCACTTGAAGGTAGATACAGTATCAGCTACGTTACGTGCTACACGGCTAGGTGAGTACCCTGCTTTAGCGGTGTATCTGAATCCATCACCCCATTTCGTCCTGTGGGTGTCGTAAGATGGGACGTGCCAGAAAAATATTATGGATTCCTATAGATGGCGGTATTAACAGCCCGTTTTTTTTTATAGGATTGGGTGACAAACGAGCACACAGTCCACCTGATGGTAAGTGGTTACTGTGACCCATAGACATCTACATCTATCCTCAATAAAGACTCAAGATGCAGATGCGTTGTCACCCGTGAGGACTAAGATGGAATGCCTCTTTGCCAGTAAAAAGGGTCTCCGGTTCTCTACACTCACCATACGAAACACAGCAGCGTTAAGCTGCTATTTTACGCTGGTCTTCTGTGAGAGCGTGGTCCTTCCCCGGTCGAGCCGACCCATTCGTGCTACAACCATAATATAGACGCCAGACGTAAAATAACTAGATCGGCGAAATGCAGCACGGTCAAAAGTGCTAGACGTTTGGTACTGTGATAGTCAGTCCGCCTCTCAAGCTTGACGATTTAGTTAAATCTCTTTACAGCAGTGCACTTTTACGGGTTGACGGGTGATGAAGATCATAAAAAATATTCCAGGTTTTCTCAAACTGGGACATATCAGGCGAGATGAGTTAGATCACTCGCTAATACAAGATGATATTTAAAAAAAAAATGAAATCAAAAAATCCTCGTTCACGTAGAAAAGAACCCAGTCTTATAAAGTTATTCATAAATAAAAGCTACGTTTTATTTACATATTTTTAATAACTGTGAAAATACACGTTCACAAACTCTCTAACATTCACACCATAATCGTCAACAATATTAAATTATTGGCTTGTAGATTTATATATAAAAAAACTACAGTCCATTTCACAATATTTTATTTCAACGAAATAGAAAACGAAAACCTTGTCTATGAAATATTGCAAAACAGATCCGTGTAATATATTGAAGGCTGTGCCTGTGTATAATGTACAATAACATACACCTTCACATAAATAAAATATAGGTACAATTTCATAATAAATTGAGCAGTGACCAACAATCTCTTGCAGCAATCCATATAACAACGCCCAGCGTAATCTTTAAACTATTTTCATAAAAAATAAAAAGTAACAAAATCATTGAATTTTAGATTTCCAATAAATATTAAACGTCATAAGCGATCTTTTTATTTTAGTTATAATACAACAAAAGCTACCCAACTTTTCCTCTAATTAATTTTCATAGTTTGTCCAAAATTGCCTTTAATAAACATCCTTGCAAGTTACTTTATCAAATGAATTGTAAAAATTATTTTATAGTTATAACTCCGTTTCGCTTCGATTCCATTCCGATAATTTGTTTTGTAAATCTAAAGCTAATTTCTTTTTTTAATGTAGCATTAAGAAAGTTTCAGATACAGGTAAAGTTATTCTAGCGTTATTTAGTACAGGACAGAGGCTATCATAACCTGCTAAAATCCATTAGATTAAATTATATAATTGCCCCATTATGAGGCGAAATCCGTGTAGTGTCATCTTTGTTGGCGAACATTACCTATTGTTGTGGTTGTTAAAAATTATAGTGTAGGGCACATAAAAGAGAATCTAGGTTGTCTTCTAAAAAGTAATAATAATACAAGTAATATTATTTTTGTATAGGCTGTTTGGCAAATTAAGAAGAAAATACAATATTCGAAAGTAGAGTAAAGTAGAATTTTTAAGCCAATAAAGATAAAGAGCCTCGTTTATCGTAAGCGACGGATAACTATATTTAAATAATATTCGTATTGATTAATTGGATTTTCAAATAAGCTGAGGATAGATTGAATGTGCATCAACTACAATTAACTAAGTGGTGATTCTCTATCTACCTTACAGATTATTGCAACATTTTACCCGCACATTTCTAGTTTACGTCGTACGATATAAAATGCTCGCCGTATCTGGCATTTCTCTACTTAAAACTACAAATTATCATCACAATTTTTAAGTATAACAAATATTTGCAGATTACAGAGGGTGTACTAAATTAGTCTTTAATCTTGTATAGGTCCTCGACTGCTTCTAGAATGCACAACATTTTGAATTATACTTCGAGCTTCGTCCTCTAGATTAGTAACTGGAACTTATTAAACACATGTAGTATTATGTCTAGGATTCACAATTCTAAAAATTAAAAACCTCTCCTTTCCCCTTCTTCCTCCGGTCACAGGAGTGGGGAGAACCCCACTGCGTATTTGACATGTTGGGTACCAGAAGGACGAGTTACTAATCTCTTCGCCGAAGTATCTCGTATAATTAGGATAGAACTTCACTTAAGGTAAGTTCATTTAATCATTAATAATATGTTATTAAATTATTATTTCTCTTCCATAATATTTAAAAAAAATGTGAAATTTATTATTATACAGTTAATAAATGCCCTGACAGATTTAATAAATTAATGTATACATAAACTTTAATTTATTAAATCAATTATTAATTAAGTTTATGTACACACATACGTTTTATAAATGAATGTAAACATAAACATGTATTACGTGAATAAAGGGAGCAAATATTACAGATTTTAATTAACCTCTAATTTTAATACTTTGAGCGAGCAGTTCTTGTATATGTCATGTTACCTTATGATTGGGAACACCGTTAGTTTATAATCTATCTCGCGAGATTGTAAACTATCGAAAAATTGTTAACTGTACCAAACCATTTACAATCTAACACATTAATTTTCGGTTTCATAATCTATCAATCTCAAACCATCAAATTGTGAACGCACCCGCACATACCTCCGCTTTTATCATCCATAAAATTATGAACTGTCCCTCATTGTACAGTCTTGGCGGTAGCTCGTTCTGAGTCCATAGAGTTAAGAAACAAACATTAGAGTCGAATGTAGGAAATGTCGTCTCGTTGAATAAAATTAATAGGGTGATCATATCATTGTCGCTGGTCTGTGCCTAATTATGCGCCGATAGCTTACAATCTCGCGAGCTAGATTATAAACTAACGGTGTTCACAATCTACGGTAGCATATGTATGTATGATGTACATAAATATGTATATGAAATTGGACTCTCGGTTACTCCAATGAATGATTTGGATGAAATTTTGTATACAGATAATATTATTCTTTCAAAGTTCATCGAAATAAGTGTCATATTTGCGAAAATGACTTTTCCAATGCGAAGCTAAGCTTGGTCGCAAAGGTACATTCATAAATATTAAAATTTGCATTAACCTTTTATGTGGGACTGCGCAATACAGTCAGTATTTTACTATGTTATGAAGCTGGTTCTTCTAGCAGTATTTATTCGCAGATAAAAACAAATCGTAAAAAATTTTAATTCAAAATATTTCGAGAAAATGCTAGGAGTGCAATTGTACTTTATTTTTTTCAATAGCTTATTCTTAAAGTAGCTTCTTCAATAAAAAGTGTTAAAAGCTTATGGGAATTAAAAAAGAGTGCTCGGTGTAATTTAGTAATCGAGGATTTAAATTATACTACACTTATAATCTAATATGATATAACTCGTCAAAGTGCGGGTGATTGCGCGCCAAAAATCAGTTCAATCATTCACCACAGATAATGAATTTCAATGTTTTTTTTTTTTCGTTAATCTGCCATAGTATATCGCTACGAAATATAATTGTGTATCTTACACGTCTTATAGACTATAACAAGTACGTTCAACATTTTCGCTATTACTCCATTCAACAAACGTCTTACAGCAAATTTGTTAACAACTGTTAGTTTTGGCATATAACCAACTTTCACTATTAAATTAGATGTGAAAAACGCATGAAATACGAAGTAAAAAAAAATAATAAAAATATAAAACGTCAGCTACTTACTGTGCAAACGAGACACTAACATCATGTATTACCAGTTCCAATATACCAGTACAAGACTTGCAATTTTTGTACAATTTATATAAGAATCAGAATCATTCATTTATTTCGTGGATCATAGGTATTACAAATATGTTAGATATACATATAATTATATAATCAAGTTCAACTATATAGTTGTTTGCTTTAGTTTTTCGGCGTCTAAAATTGAGACTTAAAGTTTTCTTCTTAAATAAAACGTGGTGTGTGACTTAACGAGAATAATATATATATATAAAATTCACTATCGCAATGTTTTGATACAGAAAAGTCGCTTGGATGGCTACCGAAACTTCTTCTTAATTCGGTAGTAGCGTATTGAAGTTAGTCGCGGTTGCAATACCATAAATAAACATATACAATCCACAACTTTTTGTCCCCATCTGTACTTTAATAATACATACATACTGTTTACAATACGTAAACAGTTTTTTCAACAGCAATATTTTTCTTTAGACATCACAGCATAAATAACGTCTCCTTCTGTGCAATCAAATTTCACATTTTGTTTGTACAAAAAAATAAAGACTAAATTACAATTCGATTTTTATTTTTTAAACGTGTAACGTTTTCATACTCCACAGCTAATGCATAGTGAAAGTGTGACGGAGTTACGCTTTGACCGCGTGGTTGAGACCGGCCCCCTGTCAAGCCGAAAGACGGCCGTCCACAATTGGAGACGGTAGCAAGGACCTAAATGAAACACAAGAATATCGATATTAGTACAGCAGAAAACATCATCATTCTGTGATGGAACGTACATTTACTTGCAAATGTAAACTTACTTAAAAACATTCTTCCTATGAGGCAATCTATAGGGATGGCTTATGTTCACCATTGGACTTTTGATAGGCTTCATTGATTTATTTATTTGTATGGATCTCCAACAGTTGTACATATCAACTTAAATCTAACACATGCCTTACATCAACAAATTACTATGTACGACCAATTATAGGAGAACCATTCTATAACAGTGTATAGAGTTACCCTATAAGAGATTAAATTAAAAATATCTAGAACCAGCGAAGAGCTAGTAGCTGATATAGAAGAAGAATAAGAAGTCAATGTTCTATGTTATCCATCGTAAAGTAAAAAAAAAATCAGCTTTAATACGTTCCACTGCTGGGTATAAGCCTGCTCTCACTTAAGGGTTGGTTATTTAGGGTCTTCCTAGAATTAGGTTAAAATAAGGCTTCGCTGATCAAATAAGACATTGCAACTTATGTTTGTTTATTTCTTTAAATGTCAAAATTCATGTGAAAATGCCGAACACAAATCCTACAGACAGGTAGACTCGCTAGTATGAGGAATTATTTTAGAGACCTACATCCGGCAGCGAAATTTAAAAATGCTGTAGAAGACATAACACGATTTATATCAACTAATGTTTATGTTGGTGTAACACACATATAATAAAAATGTTAATCGTAGAGAATGTTTATATTTGTTTTTATGCATTTATAGCGCATACACTGACAATGCTTGACAGGACTTTCGATTTTATTATGTCTGTTAAATATTAAACTTTTTGTACATTATGCGATTAGAAAGACATTTGGCTATTTTAAAAATACATTACTTTTTTTAATAGGATAGGCTGACAAACGAGCACACAGTCCACCTGATGGTAAGTGGTTGCTGTGACCGATAGACATCTACATCTATCCTCAATAAAGAATCAAAACGCAGTTGCGTTGTCGCTCGTGAGGACTAAGATGGAAAGCTTCCTTTCCAGTAAAAAGGGTCTGGTTCTCTACACTCACCATACGAAACACAGCAGTGTTAAGCTGCTATTTTACGCTGGCATTCTGTGAGAGCGTGGTCCCTACCCGGTCGAGTCGGCCCATTCGTGCTACAACAATACTACTAATATAGCTGCAGCATGGCTCTACCAAGTATAAAATGACTGATACAAATGTATCCGAAATAATATATATGAAATCGTATATTTTAATATTTTATACCCAACATATATTTTAAATTTATTTAATATAGATATTGAATTTTTAACGAAATACGATAAATTAAAAATCATTACCAAGATAAATAACATTCAAAAAGAACCTTAAATATTCTTGGCCCTTCGAGACGGATTCCTATTAAAGTTTTAAATACATACCCGCATTCAAGTGCATCTAAATTTCTGGTAGTGGCCGCTCCTTGACCTCCTGCCGCCATATTAGAGTTCATAGATTCTGTTCTAGATCCCATGTTGCGCTGCCGACATAAGTATGGTGTGACCGACGGGGAAGGTGTCATGCGTTCCTGCAATATTTATAAATATGTATGTGATATTAGTTGCAAGGTACAAAAAATAATAATATGAAAATGCAATTTAATTCTTTTGTATTAATAATATGGAATGTATCAACAAGGAAATTATGAAAACAATGTGTATCTGCTAAAATCCGCATACAAATAACTAAGATTAGATTATTTGAAAAAAATAATATTTCTGATTATATTTCTAAGCTAACAATACTACTTAAGTTATTATTAATACCTAACACCACCATTTTAATGAAAAGGCTATGACAAAAAATGCTAATTTTACCTACATCACAAGTACATAAAATTTATAAATGTTATATATGCGTGTTATATATTTACATTTTATGTTCAAAATCTATCCTAATCTAAAATATTAACAAAAATGATTATGGTAGATTTTATAACTTATCATATCAATAAAATATCCTGCATAAAAAACTGTGTTTAAGTCTAAAGCTCGGAAAGCATTAACATGATGTACACAACGCATCTAACCAAACAATACAAGCTTTGCAAACCTGAAAAACAAATTACACATAAACCAATTATGGCTAGCTGCCTCTCTTTCTTACTAAGTGTATCACAACAGTATAAAAGAGAGGGAGCGAATATCGTTTAATATTTTTGTTAGTACATGAACTTTTAAAGCAATTTTTCGAAAACAATGTTTTGTGAAATAATGTAATATAAATTGTTTTTTTTTTTTTATAGGATAAGGGTGACAAACGAGCACACAGTCCACCTGATGATAAGTGGTTGCTGCGCCCCATAGACATCTACATCTATCCTCGTTTGCGAATCAAAATGCAGATGCGTTGTCACCCGTGAGTACGAAGATGGAATGCCTCTTTTCCAGTAAAAAGGGCCTCCGGCCACCTGCACTCACCAAGCGAAACGCAGAGGTAAACCTCTACTTCACGCTGGTATTCTGTGAGGTCGTGGTACCACCCCAGTTCGAGCCAGCCCATCCGTGCGACAGCAAAAGCTGCCGCGTGGCTCTACCACTGTTAAAAAGGTGGTACAGTTTTTGAGGTCATAAAATAACATGTTGTTTTTTTTTAAAGATTTTAACAACATGATACGTTCTGGTAATATACAAGGTTATTTTCAGAATAAGTAATATAGGCGAATGGTGAAGAAAAATTCATTACAAAAATCTTAAACATTCTGTCCTTTTTATCGTTTAAATTCAGAATGCATTATTTTAACTGATTGTCATTCATAAATAGCTAACGCCAACTATTTTATTACGCATGCACGCATTCGTAATAAAATAGTAAGTAGTCAAAGAGGGTCGCTCGGTGAATTGAATCGCACACAAAGGAGCAACAACTACGCGTACGCGCACGCGTAGTTGTTGCCTATAAATAACATTCAATTTGGGATAATTTTAAATAAAAGTAGAAGCCTTATTTACTCGTATTTTCATAAACTACGATAGCGGTATATCATTATTTACATATTTGAAGTTAAATATAAAATTTGGATACTCATAGAAAAATGAACCTGTATAATTCATGGGTAGTTTTGTTAAGCATGTAGTGAAATCACCCTTGTTAACTTAGAGCTACTCACTAACATACTGTTTTGCGTTGCTGTTGTCGTTCACTTGCAAATAAAATAATGAATTATTTATCAATTCTGAAACATGCGCCTGATATCGATATTTAATAAATCGACGTCGGCTTTCGATATCGCTGTGAAACCGAACATCGGTTAAGTAGTCGTTCACGTATAAATAATGCCCATGCCTCCATATACCGCTAATTAATTAAAACTACGTATGTATATGTATATATTTTATACATTTGAAACTTTAATGACTAGGTACAAATTCAATATGAAATCAAATATGAAATACAAAACACGCAACAGCAAGCTTTACCTGTTTACAAATCCTAACGGCGACAAATATTTTTCAAGCGACATGCTATTTCCATAAGTATATTCCATAAATAAAGGTCACCATCGTCTTACGGGATATAAAAAAATGGCAAAGAAATTCTTTCCGCATTTCCATTTGTTTTTTTTTACAGCTTTGATTAATTATAAAAGTTTATTTTGAAGAATAAGTTTGGAAGGATTTATTAATTAAAGTTGGTAAAAATCCTAAACCTAGTGTAGTGGTGTTGGGAGTAGTGGTGCTGGGATTAATGGTGACGGGGATAGTGCACGCAATTGACGGAGGGCGGGAGGTGATCTTCAAACTAGGTAAGACACATAATTTTATTTTATCGAGCGGATGTCCGCGAGGTAATTTTTACCAACTTTAACATAATGGATTTCCGTAAAGTATTGCCTGATTCTATTAAGGATTTTTAAATGTTACTTAGTGTGCTGTTTATAAAGCTGGTTAAATATATATATTGTTAATTTAAATAAAAAACCAAAGTATGAGTACACATATAATATTTCTACAATTGCAAAATATATAAAAAACACCTATCTAAATTATAATAAATATATTTCTACATTTGGTACATTTACAAATCTGTTCCAATAATTTAAACACTGATTTTCGATATTCTTCATAGCCCATTGGTGAAGCGTCCAACTTTCCAGAGTCAACTGTTGTTATCCTTGAAAAATATTACCGTACGTTTATCGTTTCTAAACTGAAAAACTGCAATTAAAATAAAAAAGCGCCTGAGAAATAACTAAAATAGAGATATATCTTCGTTTGTATATGGTTTTTCGCATAAAATAGACCAAAAAGGTTTCATAAAGATCATCGTTATTAATTCATAAACAGTAGGACGAAAACTTTTTCCAAAGATTTACAATAAGGGCTATTTCTGCCACCAGGGCGGCGCCACTTAAAAATGAACTGTAATATTTGACAGATTTTATAGCGGGGAAGTTAATTTGTCCGAAAAATGTAAAGGTTAATGTTAAACCAAACCACAGATATTCATAAAAGTAGTAAAATTAAAAAAGGGGTTTTGTGTATAAATATTATAATACTCTAGAAACTGATAAACTTTTATTTAAAACTAAATTCTCAAAGGATATTCGAAGTTGTAATGTCCTCCACTAAACTAGAGCAGGAACCACACCAGTCGGAATTGAATTTAACTTTTTCGATTTACATAAAAACATACAGCAACACGGGCCACCGCACCGGCGCGGCGGACCGGAGAGGAGTAGCCATTCGCAGACGTTCTCCTCTGTCAAAGTATAAGTCCACGCGGTCCAATATGCGTACAATAAAACTAGTTGCAGCCTCACTCCTTACTAGACTAAATCTGTTTGCGCGGCTGAACGATGTTCTACAAAATACCGACTTGTTCAGTTATTTGCTACAAAAAGAGATCCATCACGTTAAATTTACAAAAAGATTTAGATTTATACCTTTAATATAAAAGCAATATTTATTCACATTATTGCTATTTACTTTTTTTAAACTTAAAAATTGCAATAAAACGGTTGTGTTGTTTCGGGTTTGCACTAACACAGACCGCTCGCCCAGTTCAACACAACAATATACAGATCGATCGAGCGATTCATCAGAGTCTGTATCCTAGTTGTCGCTGTCACCGAGCGATACTGTTATAATGTATCTATGGGTGTATGGAAATTGTTAGTTTATTGTTTTAATTGTTATGTGTTTCGTAGTGACAAACAGTTATTTTTGTGTGCGCAAATTTCCTTTTGGTTTCGTTCACGCACAGGATATCTATGCATCGTTCATCCATCATCTGACATACTTCATCTACCTTACCATCCATTCCTCCTCTTACATCCAACGTAGCGAAGCGGCTCTCCGTGGGCCGCTTTTCGCTCCCGCGAGAAAGGAGATGATGATGAGCACCCTAAACCATAGAGCATGTATGAAGGGAATAATGAAAGTGGACGAAGCGAAACAAGTATGTAAGGATCGTAGCAAGTGGAAAGAAGTGGTCACTGCCTACCCCTACGGGAAAGACGTGTGATTATATGTATGTATGTAAATTTCCAAACAATGTTAGACAGTTATGTATCGGGAAAAAATGCTATGGCTACTCCCCTCCGTACCGCCGGTGGCCCGCGTTGATCTATGAAATTATAAGCAAAGCTAACAATAGAAAATAATATGGACGCAAAATTTGATTTATTCGGTGTTTTTCGACGTGTGTCTTTAAGCTAATTGATTAGGCATCTATAGTATTATAGATTAATGAATTTGAATAATTTATTTTGGTATATATAATCAAAATCGCCAATTAATCTGTACATGTATCAAAATTGAAGACTCTGTCTGTAAATGCGAAAAAACTGCCTTATATTCAGCCAATGAAAAATCTTCAGAATTTTTTATTCAATTGTAATAAAACACCACCAACAGACAATGTTAGTAGTGATATAACCTATATTTTACCTTCAAAATAAGCGATTTATTTTCAAAAAGAAAACGAAAATGTGGTAAAATAAATGGTCTTTTTGAATAGTTTAAATCTAAATAACGGCAAATTAATAAATCCTACTCAGGCAAAGCCAGGGTGGGTAGCCAGTATTTTTTTAAAGATGTAATAAATTAATGACTGTAATATTAAGGGGCCCTTCACGTTGGCCAACATTATGGCGAATGTTGTGGCCAATACCGATGGCCATGCTTTATGATGGTTTATGCTTCACTTGGTATGTATTGAAATGATGTCACACAAGTTGGCGCGAGATCCGTGTAGTGTCGGCTTTTTACAAAAGATCAAAGGGTTGTGGCAGAGTTATGGCCGCCGCGTCCACACGTTGGGCGGACGTTTAGTTTGCTACGAGCTCCCAGTGATCACACGCACCTGATTTAAATTTTACATTCACACATCGTAACTAGTGTCTACAAAATGACAGTAATAATGACCAATGAAGAAACTTTTCGCTTTATAGAACTCTACCAAGCCGAAAATTGTTTGTGGAACACAAGAAATAAAATTTCTTTTTTTTTCATTTCTTTTTGATCAACCTTTTCTTAGACACATTCACGTAGTAGCGGTATGCTGTGAATAAAGAAACCGCAGCAGCCGTTAGCGCCTCAATATCCATTTCAATAAATTCGTCCGCACATTGACCTGAACCGAAGCAAACTGAGCGACCTTCCAACGCCTTTACGAATTCTGGGCTAATCCTTTGCCAACACATTCGCCACATGTTGGCCAACGTGAAGAGCCGCCTTAAAGGGAAAACTTGAAGTCGCTGTTATGAAAGATAGTGCAAATATGTTACCTGTTGATTGGGACCACAGCAAGTTGCGTTATGACACAAGTCATTCGGCGGACAATGCAACGCGCAAGGAGCATCTGCTGACGTCCCGCTTGCAACCTGCAATAAATATTTACCAATGAATGCCACTGTAATTTTTTTGCTACGAGACAAATATTGAAGGTGGTAGAACCATGCTGCAGATATATTTGTAGTATAGTTGTAGCACGAATGGGTCGGCTCGACCGGGAAGGACCACGCTCTCACAGAATACCAGCTTGACACTGCTGTGTTTCGTATGATGAGTGTAGAGAACCGGAGACCCTTATTATGGGAAACGATGAATTCCATCTTAGTCCTCAAGGGTGATAACGCATCTGCATTTTGATTCGTAGTCGAGGATGGATGTGGATGTCTATGGGCCACAGCATCCATTTACCATCAGGTGGACTGTAGACTTGTTTGTCACTTTTATCCTATAAAAAAAGGGTTGTTTCTGTTATCTTTGTTAAGGAGTTTTCCGTCAATATGGATAAAAGACATTTATTTCGCAACAAGAACTTACAGGGTTCGTTTAAATGAGAAAATTATGTTAAACGATATACAATACATTTATACGTGCTAGAGGCATGCTGCAACTATATTATAGTTGTAGCACGAATGGGTCGACACAACCGAGGAAGGACCACGCTCTTACAGAATATCATCGTAAAATGCTAAATGCTGCTGTGTTTTGTACAGTGAGTATAAAGAGAACGAGGAGAAACGAGACATTCCATTTTAGTCCTCGGGAGTGATAAAGCATCTGCATTTTGATTCTTATTCGATAATAGATGTAGGTAGGTGTCTGTCTGCGTTTGTCAGGTTTATCTATAAAACAAATACAACAGTAGTTAGTGACGATTCTTAAGGCACTACTACTAGCGAACGACCTTGAGCATTCGGTCCACATCTGCCTCGCCACTCCGCGCTCTCTCACTACAACATATCGCGTAAGAAATCTGCTAAGACGACACCTACTGTACGATCGTAGTAGTATTATTTTGTCAACATCAATAAGCTATTTTATGGAAATAAATTAAATAAATAAAAAAAAGAGCGAGCATGTGCGCTGGCCGACGCGGTTATAAACGACGCAAGTTTCACTATCGAGAGCTTGCCACTCAGTGAACGGTAGGGATGAAACGATACGAGTAAATACAAGTACTTACTCAATACATTCCTTCCGATACCAAGTACTTTTTGTATAAATACTTTATAACTGAGTATCAAGTAGGTATCGGTCCAAAGTATTTGTTTCGGTATGCCAATGTCACGCTTTTATTTTAAAACATTGATGGAAAGATAATACACTCATCTATGCTAATAAAAAATATTTTTTGTGTATCATATTCTTGAAAATTTTGAACGCGTTCTAGTTTTGTTAGTTTTGTATAGTTTTGTATAGTTGGCAAGTTTGTTAGCTGCCATTCAGTCACCATACATGCATAATGTTTGTGTCGTCTTTGTTTTCATTCTGCGTTTGTAATCCTAACCTCTGACTGTCGTCAGATTGTTTTGTGTTTAAAGGGTTTTAATTTTTTAACTGATTGAAAATGGGACCCCCAAAAGAAAAACGCAAGCTGCAAAAAATGCCTTAAAACCGTGGGCTTTTGTGGCAATACGTCTAATTTGCATAAGCATTTAAAAAGTCACTCTGATTATATTGCATCTGATAACGTATCAATATAGAATATTAATACTATATTTACTGTTTTAATTTAGTTTATTCCAAATTTTACAAATACGGCTCCGTGGCGCAGTGGCTTAGCAATGAGTTGTTTGCGCTAGGGGCCGCGGGTTTGAATCCCGCACGGAACAAGTGTATATACGGCCTACAAATAATTGTTCCGGGTCTGGATGTCTGTCCTCGTGCAATTTGTGTTTGTAAACTGCCTCCACGATACCGGAGAAAATCTTAGTGTGGGGAGGTCGATACGATCGATATAAGTAAGTATCGATACTTTTCAAACGATACTGTGTAACTATCGATACTCTACGACCGATACTGTATCGAGTAAAAATATATATACCCCAGTGGTATCGTTTCATCCCTAGGGAACGGCGCTCACTGACTCCCGCCCATAGATAATACACTACCCGCCTGCTATCCCGCGGGCAGTTAATAAGCCCAGATTTGAAAATGGTCTTTTAAAAAAATTAAATTGAGCAAAAATGTTCATTAACAAATAGCCTATCCCTTAGTGGCAATCGCAAAATAAAATAATGCTTACTTTACGAGGAGATGCATGTTATCAATAATTATTTCACATTTCTGTGGTTTCGTTGTAAGGAGATTAACAAACATTTACTTCTTTAAAAAAATTGGAATTGCCTACCTATGGAATCAACATTATGTAGAAATTTAATTTAATGTATTTTTATTATGTAGTTGATATATATTTTTAATAATACGTAGATAGGTCTTAAAAACTGCACAAATAACGACTAGCGCGGCATTTTGTGTGAGTGAATAAGTTTGCGAGTTATTTTGTAGATGAGTATGTACATATATTATAAGCAGTTGCTTGATATATAAAAAAATGTATTTTTGAAAATCAAGGTATAGGTACCTCAGGTAAAGGTTATAAAGTCATAATTGTGCAAGATTTTAATTATTTTGTTTTATAACATTTGTATTGGTTTTAAAATACTTTTAGCTGTAACACACCATATTTATCAATATAACCCTCTCAAATCTCACTCTACATTTCAATGGCACGGTATAATGTTCAGGAAGTGAATTTAAATATGAAAAGGGTACACATTACCGTCCGTCTGATACTTGAATGCGTTTCCTCCCAATTACTCATCTCATCTCAATTGTGAGAATAAAATTAGCTTTTTTATTCTATGCTCTTCGTTATTATGCATCGCATATCGGTTATGTTATATTGTTATTTATATTTAAATTGTAGAAATTAACATTTCACTTTATTGAATATACTATTTCATCATTATGTTTAAAAATTATATTTTGACCGGACTATCTTGATTTATTTTATACTGGCTGTTCCCCGCGACTTCTCCCGCGTGTTATTTGGGGTTTTAATTTTTTTGCGCGGAACCCTAATTAATTTTCTAAAATAAAATTAGCCTAAGTTATTCCTTGCGACATCAGCTAACTGCCAGTGAAAACCCGTCAAAATAGGTCCAGCCGTTTCGGAGATTAGCCGGAACAAACAGACAGACAGACGGACAGACAGATAGACAAAAACTTTAAAAATTGTGTTTTTGTTATTAGTACCGTATATACTTTCATATGCATTTAATAAAAAGCTGTAATTTTGACATTACAAACAGACACTTCAATTTTATTTATTTGTATAGATGTGTAGATTAATTGGGAAAAACTTACTGGAAACAAAATAAAATAGAAAAAAGACCTTTGCGTCACAGTAAGAAATAATATTACTAAGTCTATTTATATAAATTTTATCAATATAAAAATAAGACTAATGTAAACATAGCCTATTCGTCGCGTACTGGCAACGTAAGAGAATCCACTATTCCATAACATCATCGCGTGAGTGTCATAAGAAGCGACAGAGGATAAGAAAACAGAACATAGTTAGCAGCATCTTCCTGTTAACAAGTAGTAACAAAGAACTGTGGTTGCCAACTCGCCTGCGCAGCGTCACAAATATGGCAAATATCCCCCCTATGAAGCAATGTATGAGAGAGGCCTATGTTCGGACAGTACACTTTGATGGGCTGTGATTAATGGGTAAATAAATTAAAAATGTTGGTTATACTTAAAAAAAATCCCTAAACGCGTCCCTAACATAACCAGGATTGGTTTCTATGCTACCTTATTTTTAGGACATTAAAATATATATCATGGGTTGACTGGTGGAGAATGCCTCATGTCATTAATTTCGCCCTTTGTATTCTTTTGTCATAGGGAATGCAATAAAAATAAATAAATATATATCAATTACCTCATTGCCGTCTGTAGGAAGCTCGATAAACTCGGGCTGTATGGTCGTGGAGTGGATGCCCTCGTTGTGGAAGAACTCCTTCACCTTTTCGGCGATCTTCATGTATTCCGACAGATTTCTACATCTGCAACAGAAAAGGAAAACCTTTAAAGCATTTTTGTTTCAAAGAAACAAATGCTGTTTTCAAAAAGACCAACTAAACGGTTCATGTTATAATAACAAAATGTAATATTTATAAACATCTAAAATTCAATTCGGTAACACAGCAATGATATCATAAAAAATTTCAATATTTGGAAATTCAGATTAACACAACACATCAGCTTCTTTACACTGCATCTTAGCACCGACATCTTAAAATTATAACGTGCGAACTTTTTTATAGGATAAGGGTGACAAACGAGCATACAGTCCACCTGATGGTATATACTATGGCCCATAAACATCTACATCTATCCTCGATTACCAATTAAAATGCAGATGCGTTGTCACCCGTGAGGACTAAGACGAAATGCTTCGTTTCCAGTAAAAGTGTCTCCGGTTCTCTACACTCACCATACGAAACACAGCAGCGTTAAGCTGCTATTTTACGCTGGCATTCTGTGAGAGCGTGGTCCTTCCCCGGTAATACTAACACAATCTTAAGGTTACCTCTAGAATGTCTAGAACCTTCAATTAGCTGCCTTGTGGTTCAAACCAAGTTTAACGACGTACGTTCAGCAATGAGCGCTAATAATGTTCCGTTCCACCAGATGTCGCTAGTTGGGACTAAGGTGAAGTATTTTGTTGCACAATGTCATTTAATAAAAAACTTGGTTTTAAATAGTTTATCAGTTTCTTGAGTATTATATTAATACGCACAAAACAATGCATCACTGGTATGCTCTTTAATTTTTTGCACATTGTTAACCCCTTTTTTAATTTTACTACTTTTATGAATAAAATGTGGTTTGGTTTATTTATTTTTAATCTTAATAATATAAATTAATCATATATATATGCCGTGTAATGGCGGTCAAGAATATCCACTACCCCATATCCTCCCGTGGGTGTCGTAAAAGGCGACAAAGGGAAACAGGCAGGAGATGGGCAGCAGCATCTTCTTGATAACAACAAACTAACAATAAAAAAACTGCGGTTTCCAACCCGCTCGCCAAGCGTGGCAACTATGGCAAATACCCCCCTTAGAATGACAGTAACAAGGAAACGGCCCCCAGTCCCCGGCGGCCCCGCTATTCCTGGCTACGGTGGCGACCATGGTAACGGCGGGGCAGGGGGTACTAAGAATCTCCGGTGGAGGTTCGGTTGCCACCTTAGACGACTCGACCTGGCAACATACAACGCACGCACCCTGAGGACTGACGAGAAGATTGTGGAGCTGGAAGAAGAGATAGACAAGTTGCGCTGGCATATTATAGGATTATCCGAAGTCCGAAGAGAGGGGGAGGACACGGTAATCCTCGAATCCGGCAACTTGCTCTATCACCGGGAAGGCGACCATCTGTCCCAAGTAGGTGTCGTATTTATCGTCCACAAGTCTCTCGTTAACAACGTTGTAAAGATCGGGAGTGTGTCGAGGAGGGTTGCGTACCTTATACTCAGAATCACCAAACGGTATCCGCTGAAGGTCATACAGGTTTACGCACCAACCTCGGCACACCCCGATGAGGAGGTGGAGGAAATGTATGAGGATATCTCCAGAGCCTAGCATTCCTCCAAAACCCAATATACGGTGTTAATGGGAGACTTCAACGCAAAACTAGGCACAAGAGAGAACGGTGAGCTGAAAGTAGGGAAATTTGGAATAGGGCAACGGAACCCAAGGGGCCAGCAGCTGGCCGACTTCATGGAGAAAGAGGGACGCTTTATGATGAACTCTTTCTTCCAGAAGCGGCCCCACAGGAAGTGGACCTGGTCTAGCCCCGACGGTTCGACAAAAAATGAGATTGACTTCATTATGACGACCAGACGACAACTTTTCAGTGATGTCTCCGTGATCACGAGGGTGAAAACTGGTAGCGATCACCGAATGGTTAGAGGCACACTGAACCTAAACGTTAAGTTGGAGAGGTCTCGTCTAATGAAGTCAACGCTCCGTCCCCCTCGTGCTTTGTTCCAAAGTCCCGAAACCTTTCAGCTCGAGTTACAAAACCGTTTTCAGTGCCTAGAAGACTGCAATGAAGTGGACGATATGAATGACAAGCTCGTGGAAACTGTCCATGCGGTCGGAGCTAAGTTCTGCAAGACCCGCCGCAGAAGAACACAAAAACTCTCCGATCACACTCTTAATCTCATGGCTGTTAGACGGGAGATGAAGCTACATTCTTCAACAGACTTGACAGCATACAGGCATCTGAACAGACAGATCTCCAAATGCATGCGGCGGGATTTACGCAACTTCAATACAGCTCGTATTAAAGAAGCGATCGAGCGGAACCAAGGCTCCAAAGTCTTTGCCAGAGATCTGTCTGCCAGAAAGAGCCAACTGTCAAAGCTGAAGACGGAATGTGGCAGCATCGTTTCCGGGACACCTGAGATTTTGAGTGAGATTGAGAGGTTCTATGGGCAGTTGTACACGTCATCGTTGGAGCCACACGCATGTGTGAGTAACGATCCAAGAGCGAGTCTTATCCGACACTATTCCGAAGATATCCCGGACGTCAGTCTGAGCGAGATTAGAATGGCTCTCCAGCACCTTAAAAACGGTAAGGCCCCAGGCGAGGATGGAATTACAGCGGAGCTTCTGAAAGCGGGTGGAAAACCGGTACTTGAAGTCCTTCAGAAGCTCTTTAATTCCGTCCTCCATGGTGGCATTACACCGGAGGCGTGGAGCAGAAGTGCGGTGGTCTTGTTCTTCAAGAAAGGTGACAACGCTCTCTTGAAGAACTACAGACCGATTTCCCTTCTGAGCCGCGTCTACGTGCTGTTTTCGAGAGTCATTACGAATCGTCTCGCGCGCAGATTTGACGACTTCCAGCCTCCCGAACAAGCCGGTTTCCGAAAGGGCTATAGCACCATAGACCACATACATACCCTTCGGCAAATTGTACAGAAGTTCGAAGAGTACAATTTGCCACTATGTCTGGCGTATGTGGACTATGAGAAAGCCTTTGATTCCGTCGAAATTTGGGCGGTGCTGCAGTCCCTTCAGCGGTGCCAAGTTGACTGTCGGTATATCGAAGTGTTGAAGTGCTTGTACAGTAGAGCTACGATGGCTATCTGAGTACAGAACCAGAGTACGAAACCTATCCAATTGCAGAGAGGTGTAAGACAGGGTGACGTCATATCCCCGAAACTCTTCACCGCTGCATTGGAAGACGTTTTCAAGCTTCTGGACTGGAAAGGATACGGTATCAACATCAATGGCGAGTACATCACTCACCTTCGATTTGCCGACGATATAGTCCTTATGGCAGAATCGCTGGAGGACCTAAGCACTATGCTCAATGACCTCAATAGTGTTTCCCAACGGATAGGTCTTAAGATGAACATGGACAAAACAAAGATCATGTTTAATGTCCATGTCACACCTATGCCGGTAGTTGTTGGGAACACTAAGCTCGAAGTTGTTGACGAGTATGTTTACCTGGGACAAATAGTCCGACTAGGTAAGGCCAACTTCGACCGAGAGGTGAATCGACGGATTCAACTCGGCTGGGCAGCGTTCGGGAAGCTACGACACATCTTCTCGTCAGACATACCTCAAAACCTTAAAAGGAAATTGTACAACCAGTGCGTGTTGCCAGTGATGACTTACGGAACTGAGACGTGGTCCTTCACTGCTGGCCGGATGAGAAAGCTCAAGGTCGCTCAGCGAGCTATGGAGAGGGCTATGCTCGGAGTTTCTCTGCGTGATAAACTTAGGAAAGAGGATATCCGCAGTAGAACCAGAGTAACCGACATAGCCCAACGGATTAGTAAGCTGAAGTGGCAGTGGGCCGGCCATATAGCTCGAAGAACCGACAACCGATGGGGAAGAAAGGTTCTCGAGTGGCGGCCTCGTACCGGTAGGCGTAGTGTAGGGCGTCCCCCCACGAGATGGAGTGACGACCTGGTAAGACATGCAGGAAGTCGATGGATGCAGGTGGCTCAGAACCGTGCTTTGTGGCATTCTTTGGGGGAGGCCTATGTTCAGCAGTTGACTTGTGAAAGGCTGTAATGATGATGATGATGATGATGATACTCGTAATTAATCATACATAAAGGAACATTAAGCTTTACATTTTTCGAACAAAATAACTTCCCCGCTATAAAATCTGTTAAATATTACACCTCATTTTTAAGTGGCGCCGCCCTGGTGGTAGCAAATGTCGTGAATGGCCTCATTATTGTGAATTCTCTTTTTTTTAATTGTGTAATCTAAAATAAGGACGGTGTTATCCCAAGGAACTGAGTACATAGGAAAATAAATAACCTCTGAAACTCTTAAAATTATATTTATATATTTAAAATTATTTTGTATTATTGTGTACTTACACCATCTTCGAAAACGTAAAATAATTAAATGTTTGATATGTAAAAAGGTCATTATATTTTAAGAATCCCTAAATATTAAAAATAAATAATAATTAAGGGGAAGCCTTTGTCTTTTGTTATTTGGAGAACTGAATGTCCTTCGGCGTGCAGCTGGGCTCACGTGATGTGTAAAATCTCAAAATATATCTCTTAAACAAAGGCAATGTTATTATGATACAGTGTTATTTCAACAATCGTCTGCTTGTCTCTGATGATACATACACTGTGACGTGTTTGTGGAAGCGGGACTTTCATCTTTAATTATAATAAAATGGGTTGGTATTTTAGCAATAATTGCAGTATTTTTATAACCAACAGTACATTATTCTAAAGTAATACAATATTTATGATTTGACCACCATATAGCACGTATACTCTGCTCGCATATCACGAAATAGACAATACCAGAAGACCGACCACGCTGGGAGAGAGGCGTGGAATTTTGCCTTGTCGCTGGGGCTCTCCCAGCTGGTAAAGCGACTAGGGTGACCTGATGTGGATGGGCACACAGCCAACTGCCTCGACTTTCTGCTGACGACCGATACAGACAGGTACAATGTTCAGGTTACCTCACCCTTGGGAACTTCTGACCACTGTCTGGTGAAATCT